CACACAGCTCCTCACCCCCTTTTCTCTCCCCCACAGGGATCAGCAATAACCAGCCCAACCAGATGCACCTGAACTCAGCTGCTGCCCAGAGCCCCATGGGCATGAACCTGCCAGGCCAGCAGCCCCTGTCCCATGAACCCCCACCTACTATGTTGCCCTCCCCTACCCCTCTGGGGTCTAACATTCCACTGCACCCCAATGCGCAGGGGACAGGAGGGCCCCCTCAAAACTCCATGATGCTGCCTCCAGGGGGCCCAGACTCCCTGAATGCCCCCTGTGGCCCTGTGCCCGGCTCCTCCCAGATGATGCCCTTCCCCCCTCGGCTCCAGCAGCCCCATGGTGCCATGGCCCCCAGCGGGGGTGGGGGCGGGGGGCCTGGCCTGCAGCAGCACTACCCTTCGGGCATGCCCCTGCCCCCAGAGGACCTGCCTAGCCAGCCGCCGGGCCCCATGCCCCCTCAGCAGCACCTGATGGGCAAAGGCATGGCTGGGCGCATGGGCGACGCCTACCCCCCGGGCGTGCTCCCTGGGGTGGCGTCAGTGCTGAACGACCCCGAGCTGAGCGAGGTGATCCGGCCCACCCCGACGGGGATCCCTGAGTTCGACTTATCGAGGATCATCCCCTCTGAGAAGCCAAGCAGCACCCTCCAATACTTCCCCAAGAGCGAGAACCAGCCCCCCAAGGCCCAGCCCCCCAATCTGCATCTCATGAACCTGCAGAATATGATGGCGGAGCAGACCCCCTCACGGCCCCCCAACCTCCCGGGCCAGCAGGGCGTCCAGCGGGGTCTCAACATGTCCATGTGCCACCCCGGACAGATGTCCTTGTTGGGCAGGACAGGTGTGCCCCCACAGCAGGGCATGGTGCCCCACGGCCTGCACCAGGGAGTCATGTCCCCGCCACAAGGCCTCATGACCCAGCAGAATTTCATGCTGATGAAGCAACGGGGTGTGGGGGGTGAGGTCTACAGCCAGCCCCCCCACATGCTGTCCCCACAGGGCTCCCTCATGGGCCCCCCGCCCCAGCAGAACCTCATGGTGTCCCACCCGCTGCGGCAGCGCAGCGTGTCTCTGGACAGCCAGATGGGCTACCTCCCGGCGCCAGGCAGCATGGCCAACCTGCCCTTCTAGCAGTCCCCTGTGGGGGGGGGGCTGGAGCTGGGGCGATACTGCAAATATGTTAACCTTAAAGTTTAAGTTTCTTCCCCTCCAGTGTTGGGATGGCCTGGGTCTGGGGGTGGGGTGGAGGGGGTGGGAGGGACTTGTGTGGGGAGTGGCATTTATGGAAACCAGGTGTGCTGGCAGCTTAGGGGGGGAAGTGGCAGAGAGGGGTGGGGGGTTTGGGATTGGGGTTCCATTTCGGCCACCGGGACTGCCCCTCCCCCACCCATCCCCAGTCCCATGGAGCTCCTCTCCCCTGGTTCTCGGCACCCCTCACCCTCTTCAGCTAGGCTTTCAGAGTCCTGTTACGGAACGTGGGGAGAATCCCGGGGGGAGAGCGGGTGGAGAGGAGAGGCCTCCGCTCGCTGCCCCTTTCCTTTCTGCGGCTGTCTCCTTGGCCCTGTGTGTTGCTGGAGCTTCACTCTCCTCTTGGTTTCTCTGCTCCCGCCCGTTTTTCCTTCTGTCTTTTCCTGCCTCATTCCCTGATGTGGCTGACCCCCTCTCCCACTCCTCCCCTCCCTGCAGGCGGCCGGCGGGGGGGGGGGGGGGTCAGGTGCCAACCGCAGCTGTAAATAGAGTACTGCGCTTTTGTGCCGGTGTGTGTGTGCTGTATCTCTGTGCTTTGATAGAAGTCACAAAAAAGAAAAAAAGGTTAAAAGAAACCTTTCCCTCCCTGCCCGTTCTTCAAATTATTGCCCCTTTCCATTCCTCTGGACTCAGGACCACGCAGTCCGACACACGCACCCACTGTTTGCCGTGCCTCTGGGTCCATAAGGACACCATTCCGGTCCCTTCCCCAAATGGGGAAACGACAGATACCCCACACCTAGACTGAGGTCAGACCACCCAGGCTTCCACCTGGGGAGCCCCTTCCGGGCTGAGACACCCCCCCCTGGACTCCCCAGAGCAGCAGCCTGTCTGCTGCTGAATGAATGCAGGAGAATGTGTGCTCAGGCATGCATGCTTGCCCCACGCAGGTGACCCGGGGCCCTGGCTTCCCGGCTATGGATGTCTGGTGTCCCCTGCTGCTACACCTTAGCCAGAACTTGAAGTCCTTTGTCCCCAGTGTGGGATGAGGGAAAGGAGGAAGAGGTGGAGGCTGTGTGGCCCCTTGAGCGGAGCCAGGGAGGCACCGCACCGCGGCCCAGATGGTCCAGGGAACCCCCAGGCCCTGACTTTTCCAGGCACTGCCACCCACTTCTCACCAAAGGCGGAAGGAAAAGGGGTTGGCTGAGTAGATCTGTCTCTCTCCGGCCTCCACGCTTTGAGGATGGATTAGAGAAAGTGATGGAGAAGCAGGGAGCATCCTACCTGCCCACTCACTGGCAAGGTCCCTCTGCCCGGGGCTCAGGGCTCTGTGCCTGCCCAGGCCCGGGTGCAGCCACTGCCAACCCCCTTGCTTGCCCTGCTCTTTCCCAGAACTCCCCACCTGCCTCTGGTCAGAGCTGAAGCCATACAGACTCAGTGTTTTGCCCCCCCTTGGCCCCAGGAGTAAAACACTTCTCCTTTTCTCACTTCCTTTCCTGCCTCGTGGGGTGGCAGGGCAGTTCCCTGGCCTCTGTGCCCTGCCTCCAGGACCAAGGGCCATTTCTAGACAAGGTGTTTTCTGCCATGGCCCCGTCCCCAGCCTTCCTGATCTGCAGGGTCTGGCCTTACATTGGCAGCTGTGATACAAAGGGAATTTTCCCCACTTTTCCCAGTCTGGTGCTGTCCTCAGTCCACCGTCAGCCAGGTCAAGCGCTTCCTCTGGGGCTGGCTGGCTGCAGGCTCCTGCCTCCCCCAGCACCTCCCTGGGGCCCCCGGGGCCAGGGCCCCGACACCTGTGTTTGGGGGCCACCTGCCTTCCATCCTGCCAGGCGCTTTGCGCACCCCGCCTCAACCTGGGCCCTGGGCCCGTGAGCCCTCCCACCCCTGACCCAAGACTCCCCAAACTGACTCAAGTGTTTCCTGCCCAGAGGAGAGAGGGGTCAGACCGCAAAGGGCCCAGTGTCCTCCCCGTTCTTCTCTTGCCCCATCTCCGCCACCAGACTAGCTTTCCAAGGTGAACTCCACAGGCCAGCCTACGTCCCTCCATCCATGGCCATACCCCCAGCCATTTTGTACCATTATATAAATATATATATATAAATATAAATATATAAATACAATATGTGAAGACATCTTCTTGGTTTTTATTTTGAAACAATTTTTAGGCTTGTTCCGGGGGGTCTCTGTGCTGCCTGTACTGTATTGACCTGTTTTATAGGTGCCTTTTTATTAAAAAGAGAAAATTAAAAATCCAACCTCTTGCCTTTTTTGCTTCTGTGTCTGGCTACTCCACTGCCCAGTTTACTGTTGGATGCTGGGAGGAAAAAGGGGGACCCCGGGGCTTTCCCAGTGTTTCACGGTGAAGAGACTGGTCTCCCCCTCCTCCCCCCGGGTCACAGCTCTGATTTCAACCATGGCGGCCGTCTAGGGGGCTTGGCTGGCTGCCCTTGAGGGGGACTGGGCCCCCCAGATGTACCCTCAGCAAGGGCAGGGGTCCCGGACCTCCCACCCTAGCCAGAGCAGGGGCTGCGGACCGGGGCAGGAGAGCCCTCCCTGGGGAAGGTGGGCAGGCAGGCAGGCACGGAGCGGCTTCCTCTGGTTCCATCTGAGTAGTATCCTCTCAGGGGCAGGGCTCGGCTTCCTGGGGCTCGGGGACTTCCCTGCTTCTCACCCTGCCTGGCCTGAGGGGATGCCTCGTGGCTCTTGCTGAGGCCCAGAGAGGTGGCAAGCTCTGGGTCTGGCCCGCAGGCAGGGGGCTGGATGAGATGACCCCCAGAGGCCCTTTCCAGTCTGTCATTCTTCTCTGAGGGGTCTACATCTCTGTTCTGACTCTTGGCAAAGTGCTCCCTCTGTATGATTAGGACCCCTCTGCTGCCCAAGTTTCTCCTGGTTGTGTGGCTTGCAGAGAGGGGGACAGGAAGGAACAGTCTGCCTCCTTCCTTATCAGTGCTCAGACCTACCAGAGCTCTAGACCCGACTGCCCCTGGCCCATACTGGGACCTCTCTGCCCTGGGTAGAGGAGACAGCTGGCTTTGGTCTCTCCTTGTCCCTCCTTGAGGCTGAAGAAGGAGAATCTTTTCTTTCAGTGGCTTTCCTCTGCTGGAAGAACTTTCCTTAGTTCTTCCCTAGGACGCTGGCTGATCTCTGAGGGTGCCTGGAGTCTGCCCTCAGTCCGCAGACCTCCCAGGGCCTGGTGACATGGGGCTGGCCCGGTTCCACTTTGGTCAGAGCCAGGAGCAGCTTCCTGGATTGGGTCAGTCGGAGTTTCCTGCTCGATCAAGATGCAGGGCTGGTAGCCTGGCAGGATGTCTGTGTTTGTTAGGGACCGAGATGTTAAGGCCACATTCTTTTGCCAGCTGGCCTTCCCTCAGCCTTGACCTCCATCTCTCCCCTGGTGCTCAGCCTCTAGCTTCTTTCGGCTGGAGGGGTGAGAGGACAGGTGGGTAGTTGTGGAGGCCTGTGGTCCATAAGATGACGGAGTGCATTATGGGAGGGGACTGACTTTCCCAATTGGCAGGGGCAGAAGTAAAAGTTGTTTCTTGAGCTTCCAACGGTGAAGATGAAAGAAGGGGATACAGATGGGCACAGGCATCCTTTGCTTTGCCTCCCGGCTGCTTCCCTTCCCTGGACTGCAGCTTAGCCCCGGGGGCTGGAAGAAGAGCAGGCAGGAATGTCCTGGAAAGAGGGCGCGGCTCTAGCTGCCCCGAATGAGGATATCGGCCAAGGCGAGCTCTTAAGATCGCAGCTCCTGCTGGAAGGGGGTCCAGCAACACCACATCCCCCAAAGAAAGCAGAAACAGAGGGGGCTGGGACCTAGAAGGTGGTGAGGGAGGTGGCATTCTCTGACTCAGAAAGACTGCTCTTGCGCCAAGTAGGGAATAACTGGCAAAGGGACGCAGGGCCAGCACAGCCCAGCTTAGTCAGAAGGCGTGTCAGGTCGCTCCGGAACTTCACACCTGCGAAAGTGTAGAGCATGGGATTGAGACAGCAGTGGGCCAGGCCCAGGAACTCACTCATGGTGATGGCCACGGAGAGGTAGCCGTTCAGCTCGCAGCTGTAGCCCATGGTCTTCAGCCTCGCCAGGGTGTCCAGGAAGATGACGATGTGGTAGGGTGACCAACAGAGAAAGAAGACGCTCGTCACCAGGATGGCCACCCTGACCGCCTTCTGCCTCTGCGGGCGCCGCTGGGCCTGGCACAGCCTGTGCACCACCCCGACGTAGCACCAGCCCATCACCAGCATCGGCAGCAGGAACCCCCCGACGTGGTAGAGGAAGCGGGAGGTGAACCAGGCCTTGGTTTCGGCCTGGTTCTCCTGGGAGAAGGTACAGCGTGGCAGCGAGTCGTTGTGGTGGGGTTGGCTGACTTTGGCGAAGAGGATCTCCGGCAAGGCGAAGAAGCAGCCCGCCAGCCAGATGGTGGCACAGGTGATGTGGATGGAGAGGAGGCGGCGGTGGCGGTAGGCGTGGACGGCGTGCACGATGGCCAGGTAGCGGTCCACGGCGATGCAGGCCAGGAGCAGGCTGCTGCAGTAGAAGTTGATCTTGTGCAGAGCGATCACCGTTTTGCAGAGAAAAGTGCCCAGGAGCCAGCCCACAGAGCCCTCGACCACGGCGAAAGGCAGGATGAAGACCAGCAGGAGGTCGGCCACGGCCAAGTGGAACAGGAAGGTCTCGGTGGAGCTGCGCGTGTGTCGGTGCCGCTCCAGGATCACCAGCACCAGGATGTTGCCCATCATACCCAGGAGGAAGATGAAGCCGTAGGCCACCGGCATGAACACGGCCTTGAAGGAGGTCAGGAGGGGCCCCTCGATCGTGGAGCAGAGGTGATTTTCCACCGTGGGGCTCTCGGTGCTGTCACTGTAGTTGCCGAGTTCCCTGTACTGCGAGGGCGGGGAGACAGCAGGGTGGGGGCCTGAGGACCCATCTCTCGCCCTCACACAGGGACCCCGACTCCCCTGTCGCCCCACCCCCGCTGCCGCTTTTATCCCTGTACTCCCAGTATGTCTCACCGACCAAATCCCAATCTCCCCTTGTGTGTCCATGAACCAATCACTTTGCCTTTTCCAACTTCAGTTTTGGTCTGTAAAAGGGACTAATGCCTTGCAGGGCCCTGACAAAGATGGAAGGAGATACATGGCGTATAGAGTGGGGAGAGGCTTCTCTGAAGGGCCGCGCACCTGTAAGTTACTTTGTGTTTAGGTGTCCTCCTCAACGTGGAAGGCTGTGGGTCCCCGGGCTGGAATCAGAGCTTCAATTTGGGGAATGGATCTGGTTGGGGCAAGGAGCCATCTGGTCCAGTTCTGAACAGAGCAGTGGGCACTAAAGCCTAAGATCCTGCTGAGGGGGTAGCTGCTGGGGTGGCCTCCCGGCTTCCTCTTGGGGTGTCTCCCTATTCCTGAATGTCTTCATTATCCCCGAAATGGTAGTAACAGCCTCCTGGTTTGTTTAATGTGCGCAATCAGCTCGGGTATGGGATATTCCTATCCTACCCATGTGTCTTGCTAACGGCCGGGTGCGTTTGAACCCACGTCGATCCACCTCCAGAGCCCATCCCTCCACCACTACGCAGTTTCATCTGGGGTTCCCTCACTGCTACTTCCCATCACCGGCCGCCTCCCTCCTCTGCTTCCTTCTCTGCCTCAGAAGCAAGTGAGGAAGGGGTGGTGCTCTTCCAGGAGAAGGTGCCATGCCCGCTTTGTCTCCGGAAGCTCCTCCTCCTCCCCGCCCCGCCCCTCGCCACCGGTGCTCAGGTTGTTTACCGAGCTAACCGCAAAGGAAGACATGGTATCTGTTTTCATACCTTTCACTCACAGCTGTCCCTCTGCACCTGCTCCTCCTCACTTCCCAGCCCCGTTCTCCCCCCTCCACCCTCCACCAGACCCCTCCCCATGGTTTCAAAACCAATTATAACCAACTTCTGTGGGTTGAAAAAGACACTTGTATAAATGATGAGCCCCAGGGAGGGGGAGGATTGGAAAGGATACTCTGCACAGAAGCTCTAGCTGGTCTCACTCCGCCCTTCTTCCAGGAGAGCGAGGGGCTTGCACAAACAGGGGGTGGTTGCACTGCCACCCAGGGACCTCAGTTGCGGGTTACACACTCACTCTCTCAGTGGGCAGACTCATTCTCCAGCCTATGTCTTTCCTTCTGGTCCCAGGGACAAGTGGGTCTTGGAGAAGGGGGTGGGGGTTACATTTGTGCGATGACCCAGTCATCTGCCTCCCCCACCCTAGCGTCCCTCCACCATGGCCTCAGTCCAGCCCTCCTTCACCCTACTGCCCAGGACTACCGTCTCTCCATGGCTCCATTCCAGCAACTTCTCCACCTTTGTCCATCCCCTACACACAGGAGGGATTTTCTGTGATGGTCCCAGATCCCATCAGCGTCCTGCGTAAAGTCCTTCATTGGTTCCCCATTACCTGTAACCACGGGTTTTCTTCTCATCTTTACCCCCACCCACCCACCCAATTTCACATTTAATAGCAAAGCCAATTATAAGAAGAAGTTGTGCGAAAAAATTAATCAATAGAAGATTGGAGTAAGCCAATCCCAGCGCATTCACGCAATAGAATACAATGCAGTCCTCAGAAAGAAAGGTTTGTCTGCATGTTCTCTTAGGGAAAGATGGTTAACACACAGCACCCCATTTCAGACCCGATTGCGGGGCACTCCACACAGCATGATCCCCTGGACTCTCCTCGCAGGGTTTCCTGGGGCCTCGGCTCTTTGCCTTGCCTTCAAACCAGACTTCTCCACTCTTGTCTCATGTGGTGTTTCACACCTAAGCTCTTGTTTAAGAAAAACAACTCAGCTTTCATTTGAAAACCATGGACTGGCAGGGTGAGGTCTGCAATTCCCTATGGGGGGCTTGAAATGTCTACGAGATAGCCCCCTGACTTTTCAAACCTCATCTTCTACTTTATTGCTTTAGGCACCCCGTCCTCCAGGTTCGTCATTCTACTGGCTGCCTGCCCCCAACACCCCAGTGCACCCCTGTCTCGGAATCTTTGCTCCAACTCTGCCTTGTGCGGAGCACTCCTTTCTCCCCGTGATTGCCTGGCTAATGTCTATGCTTCCTTCAAGGTCCCACTCAGCCCCACCTCCCCACCTCCCTCCTAGCTTGGGAGGAGATTCTCACGGTCTGCGGGGTCTGCGAGTCTTTATTACGGCCCTGGGCATTGCCATGTGCGTTTCCTCACTAGGTGGCGAGCTCCTGAAGGCAAGCCCTTTGTGTCCCCCTGACAAGGCCATGTGTTTCATGCATGACAGACATGCAACAGATGTGTGCCCAGCGGCTCTGAGGGCAGGTTCCCGGAGACGCCAGACGCCCTTGTATTCTGACACCTTAGGCAAGTCCCTCTCTGGGCCCCTGCGGAGACTCAGAGACTCCTTTCCCCCTTCTTTGGTTCCTGCCTCCTCCCGATGCCCTTGACAGCCTAGAGCCTGTCTTGGGTTCTCTCACCATATTGGGAGCTATGTCCAATACTGTCATCGATTACAACCATTTGACTCATGTTGGAATTCAGCAGGAGGTAAATGGGGCAACAGTGAGATGAGTAGTCTCCATGCGGAGCAAAGCAATTCAGACCCAGGGTGAAGAGATGCGGGGGCCGGGGGCCATCAGTGGGGCTGGACTCCCCCTGCCTCTGGGAGGAGTCTGGCTGTCCCACTGTGTGGAGGGCTTGGGTATAGCCGGCCTATCTGGCCCAGAAGGCCCTTCATGAGAGCCACTCAAGTTCTGACCCTCTAAACCCTCCAGGCTGATTGGTTTATCGCTCATTTAAAGTCAGCCCAGTGGGATATGCCCCCAGGACCCTTGAAGCCCCATCTCCTGAGAACCCAGCTTTAGAAGACGGTTGAGGGGAACTGATCTTTCCCTCCTTGCCAAGACATATTTGTTTGGCAAAGTGCTCAGGCAGGGAGGGGAACATGGGAGGAAGCTGGTTTGAGGGGTGCTGGGAACTGTGAGTGCGTCTCAGCAGGAGGTGTCAAACAGACATTTTGGGGGCTTGGGAGTGGTACATGTCAAAGCCACTTCCCATACCCAGGGGGTCAGTCACCTCCACCCCTCCCCAAACCGTGGAGGGAGGTAGTGAAGCAAAGTTAGTTCCAGTCTGGTGGCAAGTGGAGGGATCATGAATCCTCTATAGCGTGGGGGGTGGGGAGCAAAAGGGACCCCTCCAAGACTCATACCCACAGGGAGCTCAGTGCCAACGATCTGGCCGAGTGCTTACTCATTCTTTGCCATCAAAAGCCGCAGGGGCCCAAGGCCCTCATGCACACACCTGCTCTGACGGCCCCCGTACGGACACAGCCACGTGCCCAGGTCGAGTCACGACAGCATGCGGCCCAGGCAGGTACCCAGCAGAAACGAGCGTGCGCAGAAGCCAGGGACTCATTACCCAAAGAAGGCAAGCGAACACGAGGAGTGAGATGCAGCTGAGCGCTGAGCCAGGAATCCAGGCAGAAGATTGCTGTGAACACTGGGGATAGGGCAGGAGAAGGAGAACATTCCGGGCCCCGGTACTGAGGAGGAGAGCAGACGGCGGGGGGCGGGGGGCCAGTGCCTCACAGCCCCGCACTGGCCAGTGGGGAGACCAGCACACCGGCTTCTGTGTGAGCAAGTGGGACGGGGCTGGCAGGGGCATTCCTTGGCGGTCTGCCCTGGACCCCCTCCTCTTCGATCCTCTCCACCCCATCTTGGGTGACATGGCTGGGGAGCACTTCCACAATGCAGAGTTCTCCACAGCCTGGAACTAGAGGCCCAAACTGACCAGATGGAGTTGGTAGGGAACAACGAAGAGACCGAGACTGGCGTTTGAAATTTCAACCGTCCGGGGACAAGTTAGGGAAGCCCTGGCTTACCGACAGTTGCTGAGAAAAAGACCTGAGAATGTGTTGATCGCCAGCTTCAGATGAGTCACAGGGTGACGTGGCTACTGTCACCTTACCCTAGGTGAACAGAAACCTGTAGGTGGGCAGCTGATACCACCCCGGTTTGTTTGGTCTGGACGAGGGTGACCAGTTTGCTGAGGAGTCTGGAAATCCCCGCCCTGGGAGGAAGTTTTCAGGTCCCGGCGAGAGGAGTCCAGGCACAAGAAGATTGGAGTCCGAGAGAGCTGCCTTCTTCGAGGACTAGAAGAGCTGCCGTGGGCGAGAGGGCAGGCCGGCTTACCGGGAAGCCCTAGAGGGCAGACCGGGAGGAATGGGCAGAGGTTGGGGCGTGGGGTGTTTCCATCAAAGGAGAAAGAACCTTCTCCCGGGCAGAACTCTCCAAAAGGGGGTTGGGGGGCCGCTGGGAGGAAGAGGAATGTCTGAGCTCAGGTGTGCGGGGAGGGATTCCTGCCCTGGACAGGAGGCTGGGCCCTGCCCTCAAATGTCCCTCGCACACAGCTCCCAGATGCTCCAATTCTCTGGCGGTCGTGCTCTGCCCAGGGCTGAGCGAGTTCTCAGCATGAAAGTCATCGAGCTCAGCACCTGCATGGGAGCTTTGTTTCCCTAGCTCGACTGTGGTGTAGCCAAAGAATGCCCCAGACTGACCTTGCGGCTCAGCCCCCAGGAGAAGGCAGGGCGGCTGAGTGTGGGGCTCATCCAAGCAGAACCCCAGGACTCCAGGGGCCTGAGTCATCCTGGCTGTAGGAGGCCTCTGCACACAGATGCAGGTTGTTGCTCTGGCCATAGGGAGCACACGCAGGCTCCATCTCCTTTCAGGTCCCTGTCTGGACAGTCCCAGCCAAGAGTCAGGAGCTGTGAATGGGGCCAGCTGGGCAGGCTCTCCTTCCAGCCCTCAGGGGCTCGAGGGGGGAAGGCATCTGGAGGATTGAGACTGGGCTAAGGGTGCAAACGGGGGTCTGTGTCCCTAACCCTACTCTTCCTTTTGAGGGTCCACACTCCCAAAAGACCATCTGAGAACTCCAGCTTGCCACTTGTCACATCACCCCCTTGCTCCCCCTCCCCCCTTCAGGAGCGAACCTACTTGAAATATTTCATCCTGTCATTCCTGAAAGACTACTCAGTCTTGTCTCTTGATTCTCAGCACCTTATCCATGGCCACTTTTTATGACATTCTGCCAGAGGGATGGGATCTGTGTCCTTAAGGAAGGCAAGAATTCCTGATGGACACTGCGGTCTGTATGCCTGAGCCCAGATTCACCTCAACACTGACCTCTCCCCAGGCTGGCCCTGGGTGTCTCCCTCATCTCTCACCCCTCAGGTCACCCCCCAGTTGGGGCCTCCTCCCCTGGGATTCCTCTGGGACTTTTCACCTATTTGAGGGGGGCTCCTTCCCTCCCCCGAGGCATAGCCCAGAAACAGCCTGGTTTTAGTTCCTCTTCCTTACCCCTTCTTGATGAAATGAGATGCTGATGCTCTGATCACAGTGAAATGGTTTTGGGGGATCATCACTGAGGGGGAGTTAGGGGGAGCCAGGTCCTGGGACCGGACCAGATTTGCCCTGCTCTCTAGCAGCTTCCCCTCCAGGCTGGTGTGTAGTGTGGGGCTGGAGGTGCCGTTTCTGCCCAGCCCCTGTAGGTATCCCAGCCCAGGCCCCAGTGCTGTCAAGAGGGGGCTCGGCACTCCCAGATCAAGGTTCCTGTGGACAGAGACTTTTCTAGGTCTGCCTAGATCTGCCTTCCTAGCAGGATGGGTCCCTGGTATGCCCACCCCAGGGACCCGGCTCCTTAGTCCTTGTGCTTGGCCATCTAGAGTTTTTGTTTGGATCCTCCACTCATGGGAATTAGCAGCTCATCTTTTAAAAATGGGCATTTTAAGTGGCCAGAGTTGATCTTAGAATTCAGGAGGTGGAAGGGAAGACAGGATGACCAACACTTGACTATGACCAAGGGCCCTCACTTCTTAACCTAACATTAGAGTGTAAAACCCTGTCTTCTAGGAAAGTGAACCAATACTTGGTTTGGACAAGAACAGAAAAGGGGATAGGAAGTAAAAAGCATAGAAGCGAGACTAACTTCAGAGAGAAATGGGCTAGGACCTTTAAATACATCACAAGTCAATAAATACGTATTCAGAAGCTACTTATGTGCAAGCCCGTTCTGCTGTTCTGCCATCCTAGGGCCTCTGTTCCGCGAGACACTGTCGAGGTGGCTATTAAAACTGCGCCCGGCCCTGCTCTGAGTGGGTGGGGTGGAAGGAGAGGGTCTGTGCTCCTGAGGGGGCAAGAGCCCCAGAGAGAGAGCCTGTACAGGGAGTAAGGGAGACAAGATGAGGCATGGGGAGCTGGTGGAAGAAGAACTCCAGAGCCTGGATGGTCCCAGGACTCCTGGGCTCCCGACTAGACTCTGATCGAGAGAGGTCGGCCGTGCTGGCGTGCCTGGCCCAAGACCACTTATGTGCGTTGTGACATGCAACAAGTAGCCAGGTCTGTCTCCCTGGGCTGTCGGTTTTCTTTCATATATGGGACATGCCCTGTTGTCCCCTGCCCTCTGCCACCACCTGTCTCTAGTAGGTCACGCAGCAGAGTGAGGCATGCAGTTAGGGGAAACTCTTGAGATTTCTCAGAAGCCAGGACTGGACAGGTCTTGTGTTGCTTATGATGTTATCCAACTGGGTCAGGGCTCGTGGTCAGCTCGAAGCTGCGGGCAGAGGAAAACACCCACTAACCTAACCAGGTGAGGTCAGGGGCCAGGACGGGGAGTCAAGGTGGGCGCGTGGTGCCTTGTCAGGGCGGTGGAGTTTTAGTCTGGTCTAGGGTATTGCCCAGACTCTGTGATCACTCTCAGGGTCAACTTCATGGGCACATGGCCCTACACTTAGAAGAGCTCCATGCTTGGTTTAGCGCTCTGCTGTTGCTATCTTGGAATTCTTAATAATTTTTGAAGAAGGGGCCCTGCATTTTCATTTTGCGTTAGGTCCCACAGGTGAGGCAGCGGGTCTGATTAGACGGATGGTTCTGGCTCTGCTTTTATCTGGGGATTGGATCTGAAAGGCCGGACTATGGGTAATCAGCTCTTCCCCCCAACCCCTTCTCCCTTTGTTCTACTTAGAGTTCCAAGCTTTGGGATCTGGACAAGGGAGAGGCAGAATTTTCCAAGCAAGTCTGAGAACATGGTTGGTAGCGTTCTAATAGAGACTCCAGCCGGTGGAGCTAGAAGGTGTTGGGGAACATCTCAGGGTGAGTTTAGGGTCAGGAGAGCTAGTGGGTATAGGAGAAAGGATTTGGATCCTTTAAGATCCAGCCCAGAGTGCAGCTCAAAGAGAAGTCCTTTCCTTAGAAGTACCATTGGCCATGGGGAAAAAGGAGGAAAGGAGGAAAAAAGTTCCCAAAAGATCCTCATAAACAGCCCCCTCCTGCCTGCACACAGGAGCCCCAGGGTTCTGTTGAGCTGTTCCCTACACACATCCTTTGGGAGCCTGGCCAACTGAACCACTCTGGTTCACTGGAGGGACTTGGGTGGGTGGCAGAGTATGATGCTGGGGACCATTTTCTTAGCTCATCCAAGAATACCTTATCTCTAGAGATTCCAGTTTCTTGAGGGGGGTCACAACATGCTTTAAAAAATTCCTAGAATTGACACAGAGTTCTCCCACCAACTTGGCATCCCTGTGCCCCCGGACTCTGACCCAGTATGTGGTCCTCTTCCTTACTGACCACCTGCTCTCACGCTTCATTCCTTCAGCACATAATTATTGTCTAAGAGCTTCCAGTGAGTGGGGTTTTTTTTCCTTTGTGGGTAGACTGTAAGCTATTTGAGAGCCAGAACCAAAGCCTCAACTTCTCCATCCAACACAGAATGTAGTACCCCAATGATAGAATTGTAAAGCAAGAGATGAATAAATATACTGGAGCAATGCCAGGTTCCCAACAGTAAGAAAACCTCCTAAATATTTTCCCATCTGGGCCCTTATTCCACCTTGAAGAGATAAGGAGAGGATCTTCTTTTGAAGAATGGAGAGGCAAAGTGATTCGTTCCAGGTCACGTAGCAAGTCAGGGAGGATGCAGGACCGGAACCCATATTTCCAATTCCCCCGAAAGAATGTCTATTTCAAGCAACAGCTCTACTTATCTCCTTCCTCCATGGAATGGGAAAATACAGTCTTAAAAAGCAAGAACCACTAGGCCTGCCTTGATCCTGCCGATCCACAGTGGGAGGGGACTCCACAGCTAGCCCCTCTTCCCTGGGCCCTGGGCACAGAATATCTAGAATTCCAAGGAGGGCCTGGGCGACCAGCTGTCTCTACTCACCACATCTTCCAGGTTGTAGTTCATAAGGTCCATGTCCAGGGTTAGGGGGTAGTTCATACTTGTAGCCGTATGTCAACCAGACTGGTCACTGACTGATGTTGAAAGGCTCTCTGGTGCCTATAGAGAGGTGGCAGCCGTCAGCTGCAAATTTAAACAAATGAGCTGCGCACTGTCTCCTGGGGCCGCATAGGACCCGCTGTCTGCCTCACAGCTCATCACTTTTTTTTTTCCACTGGGTCTTTTCTGTTTTTTTTTTTTTTTTTTTTTAAGAAAAAGGGAAAATCCCCTCAGCATCAGTGCTAGTCAAGCATTTCAGCCTCTTTCCTGGCAATGGTTGTCTCAATGGGGCTTGTGACTGGTGTGAAGGCTGCCCCTGGCTTCTCCAACCTGCACCTCCCCAAAAGGGAGTCGTACCTTATAATGAAAACCACCACACCAGTCAGTGGGGCAACAAGGGAAACTCCGCATAGAAAGGGAACAGGAGGAGAGCCCTTCCAGGACCTCTTCTCCAAGCCACCTTCAAATCTTCACCTTTCTCACCACTAGGGAGACCGTTCATCCGGTTCACCCCAGACTGAAAGTCCCTTGTCCTGGGAAACCCCTCACTCCCAGGCAAATGGGGACACTTGGTCACCCTACTTGCTACCATCCTTTTGCCCAGGCAGGGGCAAAACCCCTTCCCTTTCCAGCTCAAGTTCAGGAGAGAAAGGTTAGAAATTTTCAAAGGGAACATCACTAAAACATTACTGGAAGTCAAAAATGAAATTACCCAAATTACCAGCAGAAAAATATAAGTAGTCACAGAGTCATCTTCTGACTCAAAAAGAATGATGTTCTAGCTACAAATGAACTTGGTTGGCACCTAATTATTAACATCAGAGACTACCCAGCTGGAGTAGAGTCTCACTCAGGAGGATCCCGAGGTTCAGAATGGGAGAGGAACATCCCCAGGACCCACAGCTAACCAGTGGCAGAGCTGGGCCTCAAAGTTAGCTTTCCTGACTGCATATTCAGTGTTTTCTCCACACCAGGCTGCCACTCCCACGGGCTCATGCAACCCTCTCCTTTCCCTCAACTCTATCCTCCCTGAGGACCCCTTCCTTTAAGAAGCCCCTTTGTAGGCATTGATCACTGTCCCTTCCATGTCCCCTCTTTGTGCCTTTTCTTCCAGGAGAGGGCATGGCCTCTCTTGGTCCACAACAACGTAAAAACAAGGACAGCACACCAGGGCACCCACACGGGACGTGCTGCTTCTTTGCCCTTGTCATCATCTTCCCTTCCAGCCAAATTACCATTCGCTGGGATTCTCCCCTTTTGAGTGTCTTCCTTCATCTTTTCCTCCATATCCATCCCCCCTCTTTCTCTCTTACACACCTTGCTTATAACCCCCACCAGACCCCCAACAGATACAGCTTTCTTGGGTCTCAACAACTTGAGGAGTTCTTGGCCTCTGTTTGGGCTGTTGGGGCCCGTCTTTCCCCTCTTCATTCAGTCACTGGCTTCAGCAATGGCTTTCAAGGAGGAAGAACCCCAGGACAATGGGTAGGAGTCCCTCTTCTGTACTTCCAGTCCTGAAACATTCAGGAGGAAGCTGCCCCGATGTTTCATATGTCCCATGCTTGCTAAGCACTCCCCATTCTTCCAGCCCCACACCTGAACACCCCTGCCCCTCCAAACCATTGATACATTCAACTTAGTTTTTGCTACTCTAAGGACATTGATTAGGAAGGAATATAGGGGCACTTGGGGGCTCAGTTGGTTAAGCATCTGACTCTTGATTTCAGCTTAAGTCATGATCTCAGGGTTGTGAGATGGAGCCCCGTGTCCTTCGGGCTCTGAGCTGGGCGTGGATCCTGCTTAAGATTCTCAAGCTCCCTCTCCCTCTGCCCCTCCCCTGCAAAAGAGGAAGGAATACAGCATACAGAATCATATAGGAATTGGAAGGGAATTTGGAAGATAAACCAGTCCCTCCTCATTCCCCCTCCCCTGCCTCCAGCAAATGCAAGATTCTTGTCACTACATCCTCATCACATGGTCAGCCACTATTGGACAAACATCACTAGGAGTAAGAAACTTGTTCCTTTCAAGAGATTGTGTTTAAGGTAGGATGATTTAATCATTAAACACTCCTCATGCTGAGTCAAAATGTGTCTCCCTGTAACTCAACCCAGAGGTCCTGGCACTGCCTTCTGTCCAGAGTGTCTAATAAGCACCTTCTGAAGACAGATCCCACATCCCCATTAGTCTTCTCCTTTTCAAAATACACATTCTGGGTGTTTTTGGTCATCCTTCATAAAGGACATGATTTCTGGGTCCCTTTTCAGCCTCTGGGTGATTTCTGGTTAATGGTCCACATATTATTTGACTAGGACAAAACATACGAAGATAAGAATTTCCTTGTTCAAGACTCCATAACTGTGTACATAACTGTGATTAAAATGCTCTTTCTTGTGGGCTCCCACTCGCCTTGACAACATGCCTAACAGACTTCATTCTGACAGTTCTAGAGCATCATCTCAGCCTATGAAGGGGAACTTCTGAAATCCTGGTTCAGTCATCTGTGCTGTGGTAACAACTTAGATAAGCGTGCCATTCTTCAATCTATCCTGGTCCTGATGGAAAATATTGGCAGGACAATGCCAAAAACAGAGCTCTGCTTCCTGCCGTTAGAGACCCACTGTTCTCAAAGGCCAGGGAAGACTTCATGGAAGAAGTAGGACATGAGCTGGACATTAAAGGTTTGGGTAGACCGAAGATCTGATGTGCCTGGAGGGGAGGGTGCGTGGTTAGGCATGGTTAGGAGATAATGAGGATTGCATGAAAAAATATGTGGAAAGAATTACTCAGTGTACGGGGGTGTGATTATGGTTGTGATGATGATGATGATGATGTTGGGGTGCAACAGGAGGAGGCAGGAGACGGTTGCAGTGTGCACTGGACAGGATAGGAATTGCTCTTGCAACCTTCTCTCACAGTTGCCCATTTCCCTTGATGCATTGTAGGCCCAGAAGAGGGGTCGGGAGGAGGCTCAGGACTACTCAGAAGCAGCAGGCTACGGCTATGATGGTGTGGGGCAGCGAGGTGTCTACGAGCTTCTCAATGGCTGACCTGGGTTTTATGGAGCAGAGGAACCTGTGACTGTCACCCAAACTCCTTTCCGGGTCCTTGACTTTCTGATGCTTCTGGCACCATGGACCCATTCAGATGTTCCTTCCCGTCTCTCCAGATGCTGGGACATACTGTAGGTCCCCAGGGCCCTCTTGTCCCAGCCACTGACCTTCGATGGTCAATTCAATTTGCCTTAAATGGATAAATACCTCCTGACCATGAATTCTAATGTTGCCTTAGAAGGTTCAGGGAGTAACTGCCTCTGGTAGAAAAGATGATCTTGTGACTTTCAAACCCATAAAGCCAGACTACCCCACCCCCAGTAGAGAGGGCAATGCCTAGGCTGTGATCCCTTGATTTTAAAGATGAAATAACAGGGGTTCCACCTGTGTGTGATAATCAGATGCGGGGGCGGGGGGGAAGGGAGAGGGTGGGGGGAGGAGAGCTTCCAGATCATGCAGCCCAAATTTTATTTCAATGTGCCACTTGTTTCTATTTCTACTATGTGGTTTCCCAATCCCCACACCACAGGCAGCCTACCCGAGGCTGAATTGTTTCCCAGGCTTCTCATCGAAATGACTGCTGGTGGTTCTGCCAAGAGTGGGCTTGTGTCTGCCTTTGGGAGTAGCTGCTTAGCATCAGTTAGCTCAGGTGAATTTTCTCAATAATTTTACTTCACAGTTCATGGGTTAGATTAAATTTCTATTTATTCCAGATACCAGATACAATCACTTGTCTTGGAGTTCATTTCCCACATCCCACAGAAAAATTAAGCTGTTCTACAGAATGTTGGGTGTAGGGAATGGGTTGGGGATTTTTCCCTGTTCTTCCACTAACCTGAGACGCTCTCTTCTGATCTGGGCAAAGATCTTGTCTTCTTTCTCTGAGTTTTTCCCAACTGTTCAGAGCAGAGCTCCATAGGTCCCCACCTAGTGAGTCGGCCTTGGGGGGCGGGGGGGCTGGTGGTGGTGGTGTTGGTCATCTCTCTAGGCACCAAAGAAGAACAATGGCATTTACTGATGTACAAAGGTCTGGAATTTTGACATTTAATTTTACTTTGTATTTAACTTGATTTCACATTTAATCCTGTTTAATCCTCAAAACACCTTGCGTGGGAGATACTGGCATCATCCCTGACCATGTTTTGGGGCAGGGTGGGGGGATGAAGAAACAGAGGCTCAATTCCTTCCTTATGATTACAGAGACAGTAATTGGCAGAGTGAATGTCGGAAGCCAACTCCATGGACAGTGAACCTGAGGATCTCTCCCCCAGACCACACCACCTTCTCTCAGGGATCGTTTTTGCGAAGGACAGGCACTTAATCTGGCTATCCAAGGGGAAAACTGCTTACGCTCTTCACGGTCTGCTCACCAGGTACTCACTACGTGCCATGAAGTGTGCAAAATCCACACACATTATTTCCTTCCTTCCTCTGAAGAGTCTTGTAAGTGTTGGGTATTTTTATCACATTATCACACATGTGGAAACTGAGCTTCAGGCAGTAGTAGGAAGTAGTTGTGAGTGTTAACAGCTCACTCAGGCACCAGGGACCCAAAAGCACAATACAAATCAACACAGGAAGTGGGGTGGTAAAGGTTCTCAGTGCGGGGAGCCAGCACCCACACATAGCTCCTCTCTCATTAGGTAATAGGTAGGAGTCCCTGCAGGGAGGAAATGGGCTGCAGGTGCTGGTAGGCACATCAAGGTTACCTCAAGGTTATAGGGGCCATGAGTGCGCTTGGAAACGGGGGCGCAGGGGTGGGCTGTGTGGCCAGAGTTAGAGAGTCTCGATCAGGTGTTTGCATCCTGAGTAGTGGCTGAACCTTCACCAGAGGGGAAACGTGATCAAGGGCGGCAGGATTCGGGCTCTGCCCCGGGAGCACGTTGTCTAACAGAGACGGCTGGGACAGGTACATGGGCGCGAGTTTGCACGCTCATAAACACACGC